GTTGGATGGAGGCATTTGGGACAGTGTCATCAAACTGGGTACGGCAGTACCGTACCGTCACTGTACTGACATACGTCGGTTTCTGGGGAGCCCAGTAATGGACGTGAAGGTTGAGGTAATCGAACAAGGGACGCACAAACATGTAGCGACTGACACACTCTCCCGCAAGGAGAGCTTGACAAGCTTGCTTACCAATGAATGCCCGGAAGTTAGCAAACATAATATGTCCCTCTTATCTCCAGACTTCTGGACGTGTGAGCGCATACGGCGAGCTCTTTGAAAGCTTTCGTTTCTTGTTTAAATTCATGATTGATGAAATTATGAGACAAACGCTGGATGGTCTCCAAAACCCCGGTGTTCCAATTGCTGTTGATGACAACACTGTCGACCTGGAATAAGCAGACAACATCGTTTTCATCTTGAAAGAGGAGGAGAAGGCGCAAGTGTTTTTGGATCAACTGACCAAAGTCATCTTGTCCTTTTCTATGCGCTTGTCACCCACAAGTGTAAGGTTATGCTTGTGGACATGCAGTCACTGAACCTACGACTTACAATCCAGGAAGATGGAAAGGAAGTTGTGGAGCGTTTAACGTATCTTGGAAGTTTTATTAGTTCTGATCTTAGAGTGACAGATGAGGTAGATGCGCAAATTTGCAAGGCTCGGGTCGCGTGTTCTGAGAGGCCTACGGCGTCAAGGTAGTATATCCCTGAATCTCAAGGGACGCATCAAGCTACAGTACGGGTTGTTTTGTTGAGTGGCTGTGAAACATGTGCTGCTCGCGCAGCAGAACTGAGACGCTTTTAGGAGTTCGAAAATGGTCGTTTTAGAACCGTAGTTCATGCGAATTGGTGTCGGCGAATCTTTAACTGGGCTGTTATAAAACGCGTTTTTGGTTGTGCAACGAGTACTTCCATTCATGAATGTGTCCAGCAACAGAAGTTGCCTTGTTTGAGCTATGGGTCGGGTATGCCAAATTATTGTTTTCGGAAGAGAATGCTGCTTTCCATGCCCAACTCAGATTAACGGAAGCAGAGAGCTGGCCACCTGTTGAGCTTGTAGAGGGATATGAAAAATAAAAAAATGTTGGTTCCTATCGGTGCTTCGCACCTTCCAGGATGAGAATCACGTGATTCACACTGCAGCCGATATCATTGGCGTTCTTGCCGTCGGTTTGCAACTAGATTACCTGAATGAGTGTCTGGAGGTGTAGGCACCTTGAAATGGCAACGATATGGCAGCACTAATTCTGCCTTCATTCTTTTCCCCACGGTGGGGCTTTCAAACAAATCATGGTTGTATGAAAGGAAAGCATTGGTTTTGAACACTGATATCATTCTGTCGATGATTTGGATTCAGATAAGGCAGAATGGCAGCCACATCGGGAATGGAGACGTGCGCTAATATACATTATCCGGGCTAATTCGTCAATATCTGACGAGTTTTTGATCATAAGGCGTGAGAAATAACCTATTATTAGTAGTAGCAGAACCTGAGATGGTGCGTCTTCAAGAGGCCGGTGAGTCGGCCTCCCCGATGGTTATAGTATAGGCAAATAATATGAAGTGACAGATAGAATCTGGGGCCGCAATCGTTCACCCCTTTAATGGGCTCCTGAAATGCAAAGGCTCGGGCAATTTGCGCAAACCATTAGGGGTGAATTATCAAAGTACTGCAGGGGAACCCAGTAATCCACGTCTTAAAATGTCATGGCTTTGGCTCCAACGGCTTACTCTTGGAAGTTGGCAAAATGTGCAAGGGGCGTTTCTGAAGTAGTCTGTGTTTGGACAACCAGAGGCCATGATCATGAGGGCACCTAATGTAACGGGAAAATAATCCCTCCTGAATACCAGGATAAAGGTACCTCAGGGGGAAATTTAGGCGGCGCTGCAATCTATGGTTTTCAACGAAGAACACGTTCGAACATATCTGTCCAGATGCGTGTGACAGTTTATGGAAAGGTAGAGCCGGGTGTATCTTTGTGCTGAAGGTAAACAAGCAGGTCTAATGGGCAAATTACTCTCTACCGGATGTAGCATCCGGGCATCTAAGAACCTCAATGACGACTGCGGTTATTGCGGTTAGTACCCAGTAGATACTGGGATCAGACAGACGAGGACAGATGGTATGTTGGGAACTGTCAGGAACTGATTTCACGGAGGAACGGGTGAATAAGCATCGTGAACTAGATAAAACGTACAGTTAATAATACCATAATCAGCAGGAGCAGAAAATGGGTAGTGGGGCAGCAGGGATTTTTGAAAGCAACAGTAAGCAAGCACCAAACGGTGTACCAATGACGTACTGATACGGGCAGTCATCCAGTGCGAGTCGGACGTGTAGTAAGGCAACAGCACGGTGAATACTCAGAACATTCGGGAAGCAGAGGTGTCTTTGGCGCGACGAGGCAGCTGGTATCAAGTGACTAATCGGATCACGCGCTTGGGTACGCTTGAAGCAAATCTCACTAGACGCCATCTGGCAGATGCGGCATATAGATAATAAAAATGGGGCCTTCTGAGTGTGGAGTTGGGGTAGTGCAAGACACGCTGGCGCAACATCCAAGGGCTCACGGTGTGATTTCCTGTCGGACCGTTTTCTCTGTCAGCGCAAACGTTTAAAATAGGTAGAATTGAGAGGAAATTTCAAGCAATGACGGATGGGCAACTAAATAGCTACATCAATTACCGGAGAATAGGCAGATCTTAGATAGGAGGGGAACCGGGGGGAACGGGCAGCACGGAAACAGAGCGATGCTGCAACAAACGGGCGTTAAGCACGTTACTCGTGAATAGTCAGAACACACGAGGAAATGACCACTGTTCTCTGTTACTTCACACAGCGAATCAACACCAGGTCCGCTGAAAAAGAGGCAGTAGAGCTGGGTGCTGCGTAGTCATTCTGGTAAAAATATGGCTATAATTTTGACGACAGTTTAATTCGGTAGGGGCAGTAAATACGTGCACGAGTAAGAAAGCGGAATCTCAAGAATTCAGACAGAGGATTTTTCGACGGTTCATGCATTTCATAAATGAGTAGCTGAAGTATGGACCACCGATTCAAGAATTCATGGAGGAGTTTGCCCTAGCTTCCTGTCTCTTGTCACTCAACGGCTCAAATTCACGTGAAAGGAAGACGCTAAAAGGGATCGCGCATAAGTGATCCAGCGGTGGACACTGAGCTTTCGAGCTTAAGGGCTCATGTGATGTCACATGACAGCAACCTAAATTGTCTTGCCCATCGCACCGAAAACGGAGGAAAGCACCATCCAAACTTTGTCCGAAACAAAGCTGTAACCTAAAAGAGCGCACTTTTTAAAATTCTTGTATCACTGTCACGTTTGCTAATGACGGAATTATTTCTCGGCCCTACCGGTCATTGCGTACCATTCATGTCGTAAGAAAGCCGCCACGGTTGTGTGAAGCCGGGATTCAGAACAACGGGTGGCCAGATGAAGGCGCGCGAGTGTGGCTATAGTTTGGCAGAGAATTACGGAAAGATTGGCATCACCTGGATTGGGGTACTGGCTGCAGCCACCCGCCCAATTAGACAGTTTGGGGATGAATAAACCATACGAAAATATCATCTTTACCTCGTGTCACTCTCTATTTCTGCTGTTTTATAATTCTTCGCTCAAATACGACCCGGGATTTATGCGACAACCGGTAGCTAGCGGAGAAATATGGGATGTTAGACGCCAGACGTTTCAGATTGCTTCCGAGATGTGCACAGCTCATTTGATTCTTGATTATCACGCTTCGTTGTGCTGATTCTATATGATGAATGGCTGGACGCAACGCTTAAATACCAAGTATCTTGCTTACCTTCCTAATCGGAGAAAGTTCCAAGCCAGCAAACGGACTCCATTTGATGGCTTTTCTCAACAATGCAATGTAGCGTTGGGACGTTTAATGAGTCGATTGTTTAGTCTTCTTGGCCATCTGTTAGCACCAAGGCGCACGATCACAGTAATTGCGTCATCCTGTTGGCTTATCATTTGTGAGCCACTTCCAGTTGGACAGCTAATGAGCAATCATTTGCACCATAATTGAACCAAACGAGCTTTTGGAAAACGTAAATGACTAGCCGATGGCTTGGGACACGCAACACAAAAGTCCCCTGGCTAAGTAGATCACTGATGTGCCAACATGAAATGTCATAGGAAACGGACGGAAGGCAATTTTTATATTTAGGATATCCTGCCTCAGGTGATGACGGACTGGTTTTTGATGTCAGGAAACACAGAGCCGGAACCTAGGCCCTCTTTACTTGCAGGTGGGAGGTTATCACAGAGAATGGTCTTGGTTTTTATATAAATTAGTTGAAATGTTTATATTCTTCACACAATACACTGATTCCTCAAGCCGATTGTCATATATACAACTGTCTCCCTCACGGCACCGTTATTTAGATTTTCCTTGCAGGTTTCTTGATTGTACACGGTTGTTTAGAGGATAAGCTTTACATACTTTATCAGCGGTAGCTGAAGACTAACCCTAACCAACATAAAACAGGCAAAGTCGGAGTTCTTCATACCGAGAACGGATTATACGCCTCGCAGCCCGTTCAACATATGCACATAAAATTGCGGTACGCCATTGTTTGGCTCAATAGCTCACGCTCCGTCATCGTTTAGCCATGATTCATGCGCTATGGTCATCGTTCTATCACCATTGTCCCAAATGTAGCTTGCGCTTCATTTGCCTCCACAACCTGCTTTTTCCAGCGGATGTCGTTTGCTTGTTCGAGCTGACTGAGCTGTTTTACTGGCCTGGCTTTCCCCCGACCGAATAAAATATCTGGCGGCTGGAGTTCTTTATTAATGCATGAGCTGCAATTTTGACTGCCTTTTGGCATGCCACCCTGAAGATCTGTTAGCATGCCCGAGAGATGAGAACCCCGTGTGGCGGTTAGTACGTCCTGCAGGTAGGGTCCCCCGTTGCGTTGCACCATGGTACGTTTGTAGTACGTGTGCTTCGCCCATTGCCGGCGGTTCAGGAAATCAATAAATGAATCGTGTTGTTTTTTGCTTGTGTCCGCCGAGCTGGACTCGTCCCGGTCGTGTCACATAACTTGCATAGCTATAGCTACAGATGATAAAAAAATTAAAATTAAAAAAACTGGCCTCTCGTCTGTTGTTAAAAAAATTCGTAAAGACACAGACGCTGTATCATCCGTTATGTTGACAATGAATTTCCCCACGTTTATTATGCCCCCATTTGTAACCCCAGCCCAATTTTTGTGTTCAGTGTTTATATATGAACTGACGTTTGTTTGTCCCTACCACTTCACCAATTTGGCCTTGATGTCATCCGGCCATTTGTATCTGACTTTGCACGTGTGACTGTTTGCTCCCTTGCTTTGCACTTTTGAAGTCCAAGCGGACTGTTTGTTTTGGACGCGTATCTACTGTCGAGGTTTGTACAAATTGTGAATTTCTCTTACCCTAATAGTACCGTATAGAAACCCAGCTCCGACTTTGTTTTGCCTACCCGGAGGTTCTGGTACTACGCGTCACTCGAAGATACCGTTCGACCGTTACAGTACTCGACATCTTACGTCGTCTTGTTTGAAGGAAAGATGTCAGCCTTTGGAACAACTGTGAAGGAAACCGGATCCCAGGACACGGAAACGATTGAAGCTGCAGGGGAAACAGTTGCAATGCAGTTTGCTTCGCGCCCTGGTTCTTGTAAGTCACTTTGTGCTTCTAGTCGTAAAGGTAGTGTAGCTATGAAAGCTTTAAGGATTGCTCAGCTCCAGGAGTACCGGGTTAAGCGGGAGGTCGAACTCCAGCGGGCTCTCTTAGAGGCGCATAGCAAAACTGAGTTAGCCAAAATTGAGCTAGAGGCCGAAGAGGATTCACCAGATGAAGTCTGGGAACCAGTGGCCCTAAATGAACGATTAGCGGGGTACGTGAGCAATGTCAGACAGGTGAAAGACCATTAAGATATGCTGATGATATCAGAGGGCCAGAACCAGCCATCTCCGTCACTCCAGCATCAGCCACTATGGACCTACCAAAGGTGGAACTATCATA